ACCCTGTTGTGAAGTATATTTAATCTTGCATTAGCAGATTGACAGACGGTTTATTCTTAGATATAAATAGAGATATGTATATTAAATACTTTGTCCTAGACAGTAGGGGGGATATTTTGTCTTAAAAAGAAATGAATATGCTGTTTGATCAAGAATGATCAAGGATGAGCTCTGTGCGTGTGTTCACCGCGTGCGGTGCACGGATGCATGAAACAAACTTGGTTCATTTCCAGACATGGTAAATTGCCCTTGTCATAACAGTTCAGAAAATCTTTTCTTCAACATAAAATCCATTGGTGATGCAGGCTATAAATCAAGTGTGATATGCCTTGTGGGGAGAAAGAAGCTGCTTCCCTTTCGACTGAATCACTGTAGTGTATGATCATGCAGATTGTGTTGAGGCTGAATACAAAAAGAGCGTGACAAAAAAGGACAACGTCTGACCCTTCAAAAGTGATGAGTAGGAGAGAAAACCCAAATGTATGTCCTGTGCTCTGCGTCCGCCCTGCTGTGCATTCAGAACAAGATGTGCATGAGGACGCTAGTGTCTGAGTGTGTGTGTGTGTGTGCCTGTGTGAACAACCCCACGAAAATTGTGCTGATTCAGATGAAGTGTGGGGTACAATGGATCAGAATCAGGGGAATATACACACTGGCCCCGCGCCACGGGAGCAGTAATGAAAACTGATGTACGCCAAACCCTATTGAGCCAACCAAGCTCTCTTTTCTTTACAGCAAATGTTAGAGGTTGAATTGATGAATGTTAAACTTCTATGCATCCTCTCCAAGGCTACTTGCTAAGTGGAGTCAGGAGGTGTGTTAAAATGAGATCAAATACAGCCTGACGCAGCAGCTCTAAGTGCAATGTTTTGTTGCACTTTTGCCCAAAAACACCAACAGAGAAAAGGTTTCATTTACGGTCAGGTGAACTTCCAGAACTCTGAACCAGAAGTCTGGTTTTTGACGCCGCACGTTTCAACGTAAATGACCCCAGTGACGCTGTTCAGAGGACAGTGAGAACGGCCAGGCTGTGGACAGATATGCAGGATGATGGCGGTGGTTGGAAAACTATTAATCTCACTCTGACAGCAGGGCCATTAAGAAACTGCACTGAAGCAGCAAAGCTGAGGATCAGTGTGCATGAGAGACATGGAGGGATATGCGGTGTAATTGACTGAAATAAATGTTTGTCATTATGTGGCATATGTGTGTGATATGCATCGCAGGTGTTTTGTGTTTGCTACAGAAGGATATGATGAAATTTGTTTCGACAAAGTGTCCTTGATTGGAGTCTGTGAAGGTGAGTGTGTGCATTCTGCAGACTGGGTGACTCAACTGTGGGACGAGCGTCAGTGTAGCTGTGACAAATGTATATACACCCAAATAATATACATATATTTACATATATATACAATATACATACAGCTGTTAATATATATGTATATATACAGTATATATATATATATATATATATACTGTATCTTTACATATGTATGTATACATATATACATAGATAACCTTATTTTGCTGCATACTATAAATGCTAAAACAAAAGAACAGTGATCCACTGTGAAGCCACTTACAGACTAAAGCCTTATCCAAGAGGTTGCATGCAACAATTCACTCTATCATGATGTGTCTCTCTTGCATAACAGTTGTTTTCACATTCCAAACACAATGATCTAACACATAAAATGATGTCAATTGGCTTCTCAAGTTCCCTGGATCTCAGTTACAAAAATTCAACCCTCATCACAACCATTTTTGTGCAGCCAACTGGCAGAGGTACATTGTGACAATTCATGTATTAGTGAATATATTTCAGGATTTAGGTTAAGAATGACAAAAAGGTGGACGTAGTTTGTCTGGCAGCACACAGTGAGTGTTAACAGCTTCAGCCAGAGAGAGTTGTTTATGCTGTGGGCACAGAACAGAGCTGGAAGCATCCTGCAGGAATGAAAGGCTCTGCAGCAAAGTGTTTAAGGGAATTATTTTAAAAACAATGAATCATCATTGCACCGAAAGGTACAGAAAAGAGCTACGCATTTATCCATCCTATTATTTTCCTATTAGTGAGGCTGAGACGAGGTCTGGAAGGAAATGAGATGTTTGGGGAAGCAGAGAGGACACAATGTGGTCAGGAGTTAAAAAGATCTGAGAATTGGCTGCAATGCAAATTAGATTTGTGTAACCAAAAATGTCTCCAAGTGGGGCAATCCATTTGCATGATTTAAAACTTCGGGGTCACTTCTATTCACCAACACAATGAAATGCCCTTAGGTTGGATCTTTTAAATAGAAAAATCAATCCTGATAGTTGAGTCAAAGCATTTTACCCCTAGCAAATACTTGGCACGTTAACTTTCTCTTTACTATAAATAAGAAACTAAGGACGTAAATGTAAAGCATGCCCGTGTCAATACTTGAGAATACACAGTGGATATAAAGGTGACTCAATCATACAAATTGTAACCGTGGTGATTGAAAGACTGTTGTGATTTGAGCTGATTTTGGTCGATGGCTGTACTTCATGGTCTACAGGAGAAGACTGGGACGTCATGACCGAGACCAGGGAATTTTCTCAACATTGATTACTTACGTTATAAATAAAGGCAGAATTCACAAAGGTGAAACTAAAGCTACTTCACTTCTGCAGCCACAGAATATTTCTGGTGTTTTTCCATGACTCCATCCTATAATTGGTCTGTACTTTGGTAGCACTTTTCTATTCATCATGACCGCTCAAAGTGCTTTGCACAACAGGTCGACCAAATGAGAGTAAGGCTGTTGATAGAGCAGCAAGTCTGGAATTTAGCAGTCACAATGCTGAGCCAAAATAGTTTGTACATTTCTCTTACACAATCTATGGCTCTAACAATCATAACAAAAGTTCTCATCAGTATCTTTCATTTAGGACAACTGCAGCTGTTCTCACTTCATTCTCTTCACCACTGAAATGTTTTACTCTGGAAGTATTTACTTAATAAAAAACATAAATGGTCACCTGCAACTAGAACTGACACTTAAGCTAATTGGAGCCTCAAGAATTTAATTAAACCTGTCTGTGAAAATGTCTGTGAGCTGTGTAAATTAGGACCTCCAGTCAGTAGTAGATTAATCGATAAAAAAGGTGAAAACTTGGGCAACTCAGATTCCAGGAATGTTTGTGTATTTAGTGAGTGGAGCAGAGCAGCTGTTTGTTAGCCACATGGATGCTCTGTGCTACAGCCGGAGACAAGGCTGCTTTCAGACTTACACAGCAAACGCTAATGTTTTGTATCAGACTTTACCCGGAGCTGTCCCTGTGAAATGCAGTTGTTTGAATCAGGAAACAGGACTAATAACAGGAAGTTTAATAGACGTCACGCTGCCAAATTTCAAGTGCAAAGTCTATAAAAACGTGAGCGAGCCAGAATGCTAACAGATAGGGAGGCTGACTTCAGCAGATCTCAGCAGCAAAATGTATATGAAATACATTGCTGTCATTAATTAATGTGGACATTTTAATATGTCACGGTGGGAAATGCACAGCTATGTATACTATAATTCTGACTGAAATGTTTTACAATGAAAAACACTTTGGATCCTACTCACATGGGGCATAAAACATGACTAGAGCTGCAGGGTGCTCCTCCAAGAAGGAATCAAAGGTCTCATCAGTCAGGTGGTAGACCGCGGAGTTGGACTCTGACCATGGCACCTCAGGCGTCTTTGGCTGTGGAGGCTGAGGGCTGAAACAGGAAGAGGACAATAAAGGGTTAGGAACATTTACACAAAGCAGACGGACTGTTGGCGTAAAACCTCATTGGTATAAATCAGAATCCAGCACAGACGTAATCCACCCTCCACCCAAACACACACACGCATCTGGACCAACAATGACCACGCCTTTATGATGACTCAAAATAGACTAGCAATGCCAGGAATAAGTCCATATAAATACATCATTTAAAAATGGGGCTCACAAAAACAACAACTGAGGAAACCTGAACTTTATTGGGGACATGATAAATGTATTAACAGAACTATTTATTGTAGAATTTGCCCTTTTTGAAGATAATCTGGCCTGAGACTGACTGTTAGTCTCTAGCCTGTCTTGTTTGAGTGAACAAAATAGTCATTTGGATTCTGACCAGTGTGAACCCATAAAGGAAGTGTGAAATCAGAACCTGAGGGATATGAATTGAAGTCAGGAATGCAGACAAAGTAAAGAATCAGAGACACAGAGTTTAGTACTGACAGTTGAGTTCCAAAGGCTCTGACGTGTCAGTGGCCATGACAAATCAAAGCATTTTAGAAACACCTCTGAACAACTTCAACTTTATATATATATATATTATATATATATATATTATATATATATATATATATATATATTATATATATATATATATATTATATATATATATATAAAATGAAAAAGCGGTGAGGCTTGCAGGAACCAGGTCTTACATTATGCAAAATTTTGTTCCTTTTTACCAAATTAACACTGACATTTTTAATTCAATTATTAATAAAATTATTGTTGACAGAGCTGTCAGTCTGTTGACTATTTCCACTATAAATGTCCCCTTTCTGAACAAGCCGTGGCACAAGCCTGGGTCCACCAGGGCGATGGCTGAGCACTTTAATACATCCCCTGCTTGTCTCGCTCCGTTTCCTGTGTTAGCTGTAAAAGCCCTGCTCTGTGCCCTCTGGTTGCTACCCTGTGGACAGCAGTAGCTTTTTCAGCCAGACAGACCCTTAACACACGTGAAAAAAAAAAAAAAAAAAAAAAAAAAGAGAGGTGACAGAGACTAGGTATAAAATGAGTCAAGCAGAGGTCGGAGGGAGAAAGTATGAGGCAAGGTGAGAAAAGAAAATGGTGTGAACGGGGTGTGGAAGGAGACGAGGGAGACAAGAGCAGAAAGTGAAAAAAAAAAAGCCCAGTGAGAGACAATTTTTAGGCATGAAACAATGTCTTGATTTGATGAAAAAACAGCTGTTTTATGGTTGATTTAATGACCAAAACACATATGGTTCTGTCCAGGGTGTTCCCAGAACAACTTATAGACGAAAAAAACGAACAAAACAAAAAAGAAAACAAAAGCTCTGAGGAAAAAAAAAAGCAAAAGCTGAGCCGGAGCAGCCAAAGGCAGCATTCCTTCCCTGGATGTGACAGATTGTTCGTGAGTCTGCTCTTGCAGCAATTACGGCAACAGCCACGTTTTTTATTGATCCACTGAAATGTAAGAAATGTAAAACTCAATCTGTTATTGTTACAAAGAACAATGTACATTTTTTCTCTGCTGCATGACATCGTCGTCATGAAGCTGGAATTACAAACTCCACATCAGCACCAAGAACAATACGCGGTATTGTTTTTTTTTAAAAAAAAACAGAAAATAAAACATTTTCAAGCAATTTCATTCTTTTATCTTGGGAACCTGTGGATGTTTTTACCAACTTCAGAGTTTGCTTCAGGTCTCTTAAGTGTTGGAAACAATGGAATGAGACCCAATTGTAATGCTGTCGGCTTTTGGATTTCTTAAAAAAAATAATAATAAAAAAAAAAAATGTTTCTGGTCTTTTTCTGTCTCAGTTCCTTCCACCTAATTGATTAGCCTGACACAAGCTGTGCATCTCGTCTGAGGTCAAAAACTTCACAGGTAGGCTGCAGGCTGATGAGATTAGGGGTGGCTCGATACGATGCTCAGGATTGGTATCAGTTCGATATGGTCAAAATTCAGGACCAACCATCGAAAAAAAAACCCAAACAACTATAGCTCATCTGATACGATACCTGAGCCCAAATGCTCAACTTAACTTTGAGTGACATGCCATAAACAGGAACACTATCGCCTCAGCAACAGTAGCTGGAGGGGAAAAGCATAAATCGAACATAAAAGTTGTATCGAGCCATCCCTACTGCTGCAACTAGCAACATTCAGACATGCTGTCAAAGCTGTGTGTCCTTGTTTTTTTTTTTAGCACAGGCTAATTCCACACACATATTTTTACACCATACATAATTTTTTTTTTTACTTTTTATTTCAAATGAAAGTAAACTGCTTTGAACAGAGAGTGGATCCCGAAGTGAGCAGCAGAGTAATGTGAACAAAGAGTACTGAGGAGAGACGTCGTGTGCCTGTTTGTCTGCAGCTCTGCTGTGTGAACTTAAGTGTCATCAAAATTGATTTTTTGACAAGTCTGCCGCTGCTGCAACATATTATGAAGACACAGAGCAGGGAGGTGGCCAGCGGCAAGCAGCAAGAATGGCTGACTGCTCTGAGCCAAAATAAAAAACTAAAATAATGTTCAAGAAGGAAAAACACATGACAGGGCTTTCACTAATTTCTAAAGTATTTATTTGACAATTTATGAGGGAAGTAGAAGATCTGAAATTTTCTCATTTAAAATTAAACAGACATGGGCCCTAAAGCAGTGAATTCAGCCTCTGGTGAAAGCATCTTTTTCTTTTTTTGGAGGATTGAGGGGTGAACACACAGATTTGGACCATACTCACTTTTTCATCCACTCAGCAATATCCTTGGCTGTGGCTCCGTAGTTTTCATAGTGGTGAAGGAACTTCCCTTTCCTGAAGAAAACAATAAACAGTGAGATGATTTTAATACCATCTGTCAGCAACAAACACGGCCATGGAACAGATCCTGTGCCAACGTGAATTATGTGGAAGAAATGTTTTGCAGGAAGCCTTTTGTACGTTACTTCTGTGATCTAATGTCATAACAGTACAACATGTCACAAGACATGGCTGCGACAAATTTACAGCCTGTGTTTTCTGTGGATAGAAGCATTTTTGTTTACTCTGGAGAACATGTGTTTCCCCCTGAATATATATATATATATATATATATATATATATAGAGAGAGAGAGAGAGAGAGAGAGAGAGAGAGAGAGAGAGAGAGAGAGAGCAGTAACCAATACTGTACAATATCAAATTTCGAGCTACAGTATGAGGGCAAATCACATCACAAAAGCATTGTATAAAATACAATTGCATACAATTCCTTGCACCAAAACCATTTCTCTGAGCCCCGACTGAAAAAAAACAGACTGAACTGAATTTGAGTGCAAGTGGAATACGTTTAAGTTTTTTCCATGAAAATACACAACAGCTGGAATCTACTTCAGTAATTTAAAGGTTTTATGTGAAAAACATGTTTACAAGATTATGGAGCTTCAGATATTATAAATATATGTTAGTAACCATCTAATATGTCTGAGTCTAATAAATATAAGACATGATAGTCAAAATAAAAAAACATGTATGTAAATATGGACAAATATGTGATAAAACATGAAGAAAAAAATTATCGATAATTAGCAATAATTATTAAATTATCGCAAAGTGGTAATAATCAGCTACATAATCAAAGTTATTAAACACACAATGAGATTAAATTTAAAACAGTGATAAGGTAACAATCGTAAAACTATAGAAAATAGAGAGGTAGAAATTGTGTCATAAGAGAAAAGAAAGTAGTAATGACTTCTTCTTCTCTATCTGCTGTGACTTAACAAAGCCTGAAAAATTGAGGCTAAAGTTAAAGCCCGTGTCAGTAACAACCAGTCTGCGGTGGGATTCCATAAACACAGGGACTGCAGACACTCTGGACACTATTAAAGGTTAAGCACAACTGCACAAGCACAAACGTGCACGCTCACACATACACGCAAAAAAACAACAACAAAAAAACATATATACTAGATTTGGAGCTAAAAACTTTTAATTTTAAATGAAGCCAGTTCTGGTGGAGAGTGGCTGCACAGAATTCAATCACCGTAATTTATGACCAACTCTGGATGTTCCAGCTTTATCACCGCTGCTGTAAAGTACACTGAAAGCTTGTAAATCAGGTGGAGAAAATGTGAAATAAATGTCACGTTGTTTTCTTTGTTTAAGGACAAAAAATAACAAAGAAGAAAAAAAAACCCTGCTCTTTACGTATGTATATAAAAAGATAGAAGCCAAGATACACACTTGTGCCTAGAGGCTTTTATTTATTTAATTTTTTTAACATCCGTGGGAAAGGGAGAGGTGGAAGACCTTGAACGGCGCGTGCAGAGACGAGATAACTGCAGTGGACGTTGATGCCGATTTGCTGTGCAGTGATTAGCTGCCGTTTATCAGCGAGGAGCTCATTACTGAAACCAATGGGATGGGATGGTCGTTAGCCAGTCCTGTGCTGACACTAATGTGCTCCTGGCTAACAGATTGGCTCGGCCCGAGCTGTACACTTACAGCATGTGCCCAGGTTTACACAATACAAACACACTGCCACACACGGGTAGAGTGCACTAACCACAGAGGCACTTAATCAGTCCCAGTCCAATTAAAAGGCCAGACGGAAGGAGAGAGTGTTTAATGAGAAAATGGTGTTGATAAAGTCGGCGCTGGAGACGACACGGAGCAGCAGACGTCAGGAGACGACGTACACAGCCACGCTGTAAATATGAGGAGCGTGTGAAGGACAGGGACAGGTTTCAGTTGAGGGCTGGTTGTATTTAACCAACACCATCAGTCTCACACACGCACACACACACGTCTGTGTTTACAGCAATAAACAAATGTGAGTGTACAGTATGTGAGCTTGTGCTGTCTGCCACATGTTTTATTAACTTGCACATGCTTCCACATATATCACTTTAGCGTGTTGTAAAATATGAAAATAAATCATATTTGCTTCACTTTTCCCTGTGTTGGATTAAGATATGCACTACTGAGTTCAAACTGCTAATTGTGGTCCAAACAAAGCACAGATTCTATAAAATATTCATGTTACTTTCTCAAGAGACTGAAAGAGAGACACTTCAGCTGAGAAGGTAACACACAAAAAATCTTGTTTTGTCTTGTCCTGTGCTAACATTAAGTACAGCACTGGGTTGGAACTGAGAATTCTTCTCCCTTTTTTTCACCACTTTTGTTTTCTTCATGCTGGTTCATTTATGGGTGCAAATGACTCATACTGTGCAACACTGCCCCCAACTTTTCAAGTGGTACCACTCCATTTCACACACCTGCAAGCAAATATTTGAAACATTTCTGAATAGAAATAACTGTAAAACAGTTACAGAAAAAACACAAAGATCCACAAAAAACTCTTGATCCTGTCCTTCGTTTTTACCTTTCAAAAAAAAAAACCAAAAAAAACAACAACTATAACATAAAGCTTGTTGGAGACTTTTGTTATAAGTTCTGAGCCAGTCATCTTAATATCAAGGTGTTTTAAGGAGCCTAGACCACTGTGACGTTTTGAAGGGACCATACAAACTTGTCCACAGCCTTGGAAGTGAAGAAAAAACTTAAAGTGAGACTCTAAGAGGATGGGACTCACTCGAAGTAGCAGAAGGTCGGGTAGCCTTTGACGTTGTACTCCTGCTTGAGGCCGTCAAACTCGGCTGGATGCACATTCATCCCTGCCAGAACCTTAAAAACCAAAAACAAAAAGGAAGAAAAATAGGTTTGGGTTGTCAGTGAGGTAAAGATAAATGTAGGAGGAGAGACAAAAGCAAAGGACATGAAACATCAGAGCAGGTTAGTTGTCATCAAAAAAGGCTCTAAACTTTAAAGATGAATTACTCAAAGCATGAGAGGAGACACCGCTGTGCAGGAACAGAGATCCAATTAATATTGATGAAAAGGCAGAATCTAACACCATCTTTGATGGCAATTTAATAAAGTGACACAGAGACAATTTACCTCAGCTATCTTGTTATAACTCAGTCCCTTTTTTGAAAGAAAAAGTCAGATGCAAAACCACGGTATTGAATAAAAAAGGAAAAGTTTAAACATTTTATCCAGTGTTTGGCTGAAGTGGCTTTTGTCTCAAAGGTGGATCTAAGGAATAACAGTGAGTGCAGTGATCCATACAGTAAAAAAAGGTGAGGCTTCTAAATGCACTGTTGAATTTTACTTTTAATTAAAAAAAAAAGTAATTTGTCATATGTTTAGTCAGCGCCCCTGTGGACAAAGACTTTGCTTTGACACCCGTTATAAAACAACCGCAATCTTATCAGCAACAACAGACAACACATACAAGATACAATACAACACCAAGGCACACTTGATTCTCAGCTCGCGGCTAAGCACTGACAGCACAGGCTCTAACTGTTATGTTATCTGTGAACAGGATAAAGTTGTCAGACCCTGTGGTTCAGACATGACGAAGCACAAAGCCAACACAAAATTTGCACAATTACCAACATTATCCAATGTGAACTTTGGGTGTTGAAAAAAAATAATCAGGGAAGTATATTACATATACAGTTCTCTCCTGAGTGACAGTAACAAAGATAATCAACAACAGTATTAAAATATGAATATTTCTTTCTCTATAAAATGTGGTATATAAAAAATACTGGGCAATGTTTTACATTTTTCTCCTATTTCGTGATTACAGCAGCAGAGACAAATATAGTAGGAGGGGAGAAATGACGCCGTACTGTGATAAAACCAAACACTCAGTAAGAGTCAGTAACTTTGAGCACAACTTTGACCAACATAACAATAAAAGTTCCTAGACTCAACGCAAAGCTGGAGGGGAAAATATATGATAAATATGTGGAAAAGTTCTCCCGCACAGACATTTCTATAATATATATAAATAAAACACCAGCAACTTCCCTGACTTTCTCTGAACACACGCTGTGTGTTCAGAGAAAGTCTTTTGCCTTGTGTGCCTTGTTCAAAACCAAAATATCTACAAATATATCCAGGACTTAAAAAGTGATGTGCTGTTCCCACTTTTAATATTTGTTTATTTCCCAATTATAGTACAACATTATACATCTTATTATATAACTTTGTGTTTTTCCAATGAAAAAAACTAATTCTATATAATTCTGTAATATAACTACAGTAATTTATACTTCATAGACTGCACTAATGGCTTCATCTAAATGTCTGAAATTTGTGTGTGGCTCTTATTGAATTTTATTTAGTAGTAAAATTTAATAACTATATAGTTCAAAAACGCTTGACCGTTATTATTCACATTGTTTTGTTTTTATTATATGCAATAGTTGAATTATTATTTCAGTTATATTTTCTTTGACCTGGAGTATTTCAAAGTAACCTTTATAAAATCTAAGAAACAGCAAGCTAATATCTCTATGGCTAAAACACTACGCTATACTTTACTTCTTTACACCCTGTACTGTACTCTGCTGCTGTTAACGCTGTGCATTTCACCACCGTAGGACAAATAAAGAACTTCTTATCGCCTAAAACTATCATCATCGCCATTTCTATAAAGCACAAGGTAGATTTTGAACAATTGTTGTTTGTATCCAGAGTAAAGTAAATCAGTAAGTACCGGAAGTAAGATAAGGCTACAGAACATTGTGCTTTTTACCAGGGAAAAGTGACCAGGGAGAGCCACGGAGCAGTGACCTCAACTGTGTAACTCTATTGATTATACACAAAATAATAGAGTGTTCTATGTTCTAAATACTTTTAATTGTATTGTGGTTTTGTAAATGTAACACAAAGTTTCAGACACCACAAAAGGATGACTGGGTAAACACCTATAATCTACTGTATAATATAAATATGCAGAAACTAAAGCCAACTCAGAACCGATTAGACAATAAAGATATAAAAACCCAGTAACAGAACAGCCTTTTTACTGGAGCGACGTCAGGTCTATTAATTCAGATGAGAAACTTCAGAATGTTCTCGTTCCTGTGTCTCTATCAACAGGGGGAAAATGTGTTCTTAAGTTTATACTCTGGCTAAAAACCAATCTTGAAATCAAACCTCTGGCTTTAGTGCAGGGCTATTAATCTTCGCTAATACTGGGCAAACTACCAATCTTTTTTCATAGCCTCAGAAAAAACCAACACACCCATATTTCAATGCTTGTAGGTTCAGTATCATCGTCAAACAAATGAGCGGTTGAATAACAATTTATGGTTTGTGAAACAAACACCGCGTATCCACAGGCAGTGGAATCTCAGCGCTTTACTTTAGGATTTGTACATTTACTGTTTTTAAGGCTGAGGGAATGTTAATGAAGAGGAGAGATATTAGCCCCACTGATCCAGGACCAGCTGCTTCTTATTGTAACATTAGAGTTTGTGAACTAAAACACAGGTCTGTGGACTTCCTGTGGTACTGCTGAGAATTCAATAATGTGACGACCATGGGGAACAGTTTTAGAAGTAGACACTGACACCAAGCAGACCGGACATTCAATCTCTATTAAAGCTTGAGAATTGAACTTGAAGGACATGAACCTGACCGAAGTTGTCTTTTTCAGTAACAAAGAAGAAAATTATGTTTGTTCAAACAATATTGATAAAGTGTTTACACAACCTAGTTAAAATGACAGGCTTTCCAAATGGAGGACAATTTAATTTTTTTCAATCTGAAACCTGTACATTTTTAATGAAACATGAAAAAGTTTTGCTGTGTGTTGCTGTGTTCACAATTCAGCTTTTCTACTAAACGTAAAACTACATTTCTATTCTTTAAAGTTACTCTGACAAATGTCAAAATAAAGTTCAGCTGTTGTCGCCAGACTTCTTTACCTTTTACCAAAAAGCACCTTTCAATTAAAATCCACTCCTGTAAAGATCTAAAGAAGCCCTGAGGGTTTGGGTCTTTTAAACAATCTTTTGATGTTATGCCAAATCGTCTTCATCAGGGTTTCGGTTTACATATTTACGTCTCTGGGGTCTCTCACTACACCTTACGTGCTAGTTTAGATAACTGACTAGATTGTTGCTTTTGATGCGACTGCTGGACTGATATCAGTTTAGACCAGTTTACCAAACCTGACAGTCCTCAGGTCTTCACTGGGTGAAAGTGTTGGGCCCAGCATGCAGTGGCTCATTACCACTTAAAAACAAAGAAACAGTAACCATCTGCTCATACTAGGACTGTTCAAAGAAACGGTAACCATCTGCTCATACTAGGACTGTTAAACAGATGTGTAAAGAAACCAGCTGTGATTCTTTGTGTTTTTTATTCAAGTTAATCTGCATAATATGTTCTGCTTTAGGGACCAGAAAAGGTTACAGAATACACAGTAATGATTTATCATGTAGTGACAAAGATAGGGTACAATGCCTAATTCAAATTTTAACAGAAAGTACATTTGTCTCTACATACAGGAAAATGTTGCAAATATTCTCACTAAAAAAACCATTTCCTACTGTCCTAACAATTGGTATGAATTGTCCCACTTTTTTTAACAGAACTGAGGGACATCACGTTAATGGACTTTTTTTTCCCTCCTTATGAGACTTGTGTTCTGTATCATTTCTGCGATCGCTCTATTGTAAAGATCAGAGTGTAGAGTAACCATAAAAAATGTAACTCTAGAGAAAAATGGGATGAACAAGTAGTCTTGGACTGATCTCCTGTAATATCTGGTGTGTCAGAGTAAACCAAAACACACATTACACAACAGTGGAGCCTGGATCCAAGCATCTAAAAGGACAATAAAGACCACCTGGGTTTTTATGATTCTGCTAAATCAAAACCTCTGGCACAGGAATTGCTTACATCTTCTTCTTGTGAGAGGACTTATGAGCAGGAAAAGCTTTTTTTGATTAGGCTGATAGACTGTACTCTTACAGAATGCCAATTCAACCATCCAGACATTTGACACTGACAAATCTCATCTAATCCCTGCAAATGCAGATCAAAGGCAGCAACAGCCATGAGACGCAGGACCCCATGAGCAGGAGGAAACTTTGTGCAAACTTACATATTTTCCCTTTGTCTCCGTGGCTGCCTGCTGAAATATGGGCTGCATTCTCTTACATACGCCACACCCTGCAGCCAAAATACAAAACAGAGCAGCAGAGGTTATTAGGAAGAAAAGGAATACATGGAAACCAAAAACTCTAACAGCATCCATATGACTGTCAGAACCTTTCTAATTATCTGCCAGGGGAAATATTCTTCCACCATTGTGCTGAGAGATATAAGTTAAGGCTGCTAGCAGTAATAAATCGGTACAATAGGTAAAAGAGACGCTGTCATGTTTGTGCTAATGAGCAACAGCAGAAGATGACTTCCTATTGTCAAAACATAGGTTTGTCTACAAGAAATGCTGGAACAGGAGAGTTTCTAGTATTTAGGCTAACGTTTAGCCAATCGTTTCAACTTTTCATCATCATTATTAGCTTCTCTAGTCTAGGAGTATTTAAGCAGTAAAATTAATAGATTTAGATTCATATTATTTACTAGACTTCTACACTGAATTTAATATATTGTGATACATAGTCAATATGTTTGTTGTGCAAACTAACGATAATTGGACAAATCAGGAGAATGTAATTCATTCATTCAATCATCCTCCTCTCGACTGTGACTGAAAAGCTGTGATGTAAGATGAGGAAGTGTTTTGCGAGGTATGAAAAACACATCACAGTATTGACTGTGATATTGCGGTATTGCCAAGTACAAGTCATTTTATTGATCACGTCCACGTCCTGTAAACTCTCAGTTACAGAGACTCGTTTTACACGCTTCAGTACAGTACGTGGACAACAGAGTTTCTGCTGATCAAGTGTTTCCGAAGATCATTCAGACCTTTTTACATGCTGTGAAAACCTTTTACAAACTTTTCAGATGCATTTTCAGATTTTTCAAAATCACCATTTCTCTATATTCATGCTAAATTTCAGCCATTTTAGTGTAAACATTAGTTATCCTTCCACATACGCTAGGTTGAAAATGGACTTATTCAGCTACGTCTTCTTCACTGTCTTAGTTTTAAAGCAATGAATGGGTTGTGTTTAACATGTTTTGTCAAGATTTAGTTTTTCTGGCTGTTTTTTTTAATTATAGTTATTTCTAGAACTAATGAGTGGATAAATGGACAATTTAGTTTTTTTCTCTGCACAATGAATACAAGTGCGGTTTTCCAATCATACCATTATAATTAAAGCACTTGTAATGTTTTCAAGCACCCAGCTGAAACCTAAGTTCTGTTTTACCATCAGTGAAACCAAATCTGTTACTGAACTCTATGTTAAACAAATACTCACAGGGAGCGTAGAACATCATGAGGATTGGTCTTTCCTCTTTCTTCAGCAGCTTTCTGAAATCCTTAAAAATAATTTGAAACCAGATGATATTTTTATCATTTCAAAAATAAAGCTGTAGCTGAAGGTGTGAAGGTGAAGATGATCTGGCAAACATTCATAGAAGACAAACTGAATTCCTAATTTCCTACAGGTTAGTTTTCTCTCCGAGAGCTGTAAAATAACTCTTCAAACTTCCAATTCTACTTCAACAGTTGCTTAAAAAGGAAAAAAAACCCCAATGTACTTTATTAATAGAACACCAGGAAGATATGCCCCCATACTGGTAACTACCCCTCATCATCTCCTACATGAGCTCAGCTACTTCCTAGAAAGCCTACTGTCAGCAAAATCACTTGTTGACATGTTCATCAAGCCTCCAGGCATGAGAAGACGGGCGGGCAAAAACTGCCAGAGCTGCTGTTCATTAAGTTAAAGAGCTTTCAAAATGCAGAAAATCTGTCATCTGTGAGTGACACAGGTTGTCAGGAGGTAACTAAATGTACAGAAAGTTTGAGAAACTAACGAACAATTTTGACCTTGCTGCAAAAGAGCTTTACAAATAAAGTTGCCGTTTGACAAGGACAAGGAGACACAGCCCTGATAGGCTGCTTTTTAGGAGTTACTGTTTGGTGTAGCAGATATGCACCAGGTGCTGAATCAGCTTCAGGAGTATATTAAAGGCTGAGATCACACTGAAAATTCCAGTTTATAAGATCTCACCAAAGCCAGAAATAAAACGAGAGCCATGAATCTTCCTGGAGTGCTAACACTGAGCCTTTGATGAATGCTTCTTTTATTCCCAATGTTATACCCAAACTTATTGGCAATTAACCTGCTGAATAAAGAAGACTAAAGAAAGGTATTGTCTAAATTTTCTAATAGCTGTTCAATCAGGTATTTATCAGTCTGGTGACGAAACTCAAGCTCAATCATCCATAGATGAACTGAACTGACAGCCTTCAGCGTCTTCTACCTTGTGATGTCATAACTCCTTCAGCAATTTATTAAAAATTAATTCAGTGGGCAACACTTATTTAAATTGGTTCATCTTTAACCAAAATTTATTCATTTTATTGTGTAATTTAATTCTCTGTGTCGAAGAAACTACTTACCTTTTCTGTTTCAACATGAACAATGTCTTTGGCCTCTGGGTTCTCCTCCCAAAGTGGAGGCCCAGACGGGTCTTTTAAAAACGCTACCATGGACTGTAGAACAGAAAACAGTGTCAGAATTTTTATTTGTGTGTTCTTAAAAGCAGAACAGTGAAGATACAAGTATGTCAACAGAGGAACTTTTTATCTGGTGAACAGTAGAGCAGTGGGGGAGGATTTACAGGAGTGTGACAGAAGTCACTCCTGCAGGCAGTGCCAGATGGAAGCTTGTACAGTATAGATCAACATGCTTGTGCTTCTGAGCTATTTCAGTAGATTCGAGTGTCTGGTAATGAGCTAGAAAAAGATTCCTGTAAATATAGTGAAGCAAAGGCCTGCAGAGGAGGCAGCAGGAAATATTTCATTATGGCTGCGTCGTTACAGTGACAGTGTCGACACAGATGGAATGTTTAACCATTAGGTTGTTATTGTTGGGATTACTATGTCACGCTTCAAACTGAGAATATTGGTGTCTTATTGTTTCTCTGAGCCATTCATCTCGCCGAGATATGAGTGTAGCAAACACCCTAGGAGTAACAGGAAGTACAAACGGAATAATTTTCCGCTGTTATGTTTTTGACAGAAGGAAATAACAAACACAGAAACACACTTCTATTTAATTTAGATTACATTTATGAAGGTTGAAAAATTAACATTACTTATGTGGTTAGTGTCTCTGGGAACAGTAGGGGAATATAAGGTGGTAATTGTGAAAATATGTCTGGATTACACACACACAGCCGTATAATATTCCTAATTATCATCATTTCAACTCCGTCAGTAAGTCGCGACTGCCTCGTAAGTGATTTAGAAGCGAGCAATTTACACTTTTTCTTAATCACAGTTAATAACTGTGGTATGGTGGAGCTGAAGGTGAACGTTACAAATGCAGAGCCTGTACCTTGAACGTCTCTGGTCGGGTGTACTCAGTGTGAAACGTCCCATCTCTGAAAGAAACAGAAAGGATCACAGCAGGACAACACGGTGAATAACATGGTTCTCCTGCTGGGAACGTGGTAGGAATTTTCCATTAGCAGTGAAGTGTAAGGAAGACTGTAACTGTGTTTGACAGCCAGTGGAGATGCTGGTCACTGACTTGTAATGTAGCAGCTCTGCTCCTCCACGTTTGGAGCTGGGGTCCACCTTCACTTTCTTACAGAGCTTACGGCCTTCAGAGTCTCTGAAAACAACAACAAAGATAAAAAATATGATTTAAAATCAAACACTGCGGTTATTAAAACACGTCCAATCACTTATACTTGGTTTTATATGATATATTTATGTCTATTTATGTCTAATCTTATCCTCAGCTGCTTTTGCCAGAATTTAACTATTATTATCTTAGCCATGGTCAGGTTTGGCAAATTTCTAGGTCTATTGGCAGACATCAAGTATTTTCTGCCTTTTTTTGGCCACACTTAGTTATATTTAACGTATAAATTGATATATAATAAAAACTAAATCGTAGCTTTTCAGCCATCTTTTTGCTACTTTATGCATTTTTTATTTGGCCATTGCTGATTTGATCTCCAAATTTTTTGGCAATCCTTTAATTAATATTAAGCTAACGAGGAAAGCAATAAATAAAGCAATAAATACAACTTTTACTGCTAATTTATATCTCTGCTATTTTTAGATACTGATTGTCTTTAACCGACTGTCAGGAAAGTGTAAGCTAATCTATATTAGGGATGAAGCTTGATTTTTTGCTATGTAGCAAGTTTTGGATCATGTTCTAGCCATGTGATATTTTAGCCATTTTGCTAACTTTGCTAACTCACTTGGTTATCCTACTTCGAATTTTACTTTTTTGTATTGTTATGGTAAAGAATTAAAACAAACCATCTAACAATGGATTTGTGTACAAATATGTTTTCCCATTCCATCTGCTTTCTTCCTACACATTTCTGTATTCACTCTGATCTGACATGAATTATGGAAGGTAGACAAAAGAGGCTGCACCAAGACATAACTTCCAAACTGCATCATCATTTCAAATCAATCTAATCAAGTGCAGACTACAGTAAACAGCTGCTCTACTTTTGAGTTCTTAGAGTTTCCACAAACAAGCAAGATAAGCCAGAGGAACACAGTACTGTTTACTCAACCGGCACGGCGGTGTTTTTGCAAACAAACATCGTGTGTTTGTTAGTGGTTCGTTTCTATAATTGAAAAAGGCTGCAGCAGGAAAGGAAATAAATATGCATGGAACCACCTACACATACTTCACACTTGATACAATGAGGCGCTATGAGCAGCATGAAGCACTGTTTCTCTTCCGAAATAAAAAGGCAGTGCAAATTCGTATTAATTCAGAGCGTGGAGCACAGAGGCAAATTCTGCTGAAGAGAAAACCCTCTGCCAAGAAATTCAAAGAGGAGGGATTCAATTATGGCTCCTCAGCCAAGCAAATAAATGTTTAGTGTAGTTGTGCATTATAAGAGAAAGAGTAAATCTTTATGTTCATGTACAGATTCACTTCAAGTCCTGGCTGTGCTTATTGCCATATACTGCTGAATCAAAAAGGCAGATGGCGCCAGACAGGGCACACACTAGGAGCAGATGTGACCTCGACACTTGTTTAGACTGGATGAAAAATCAACCGAAGCAAAACCAGTCTGCTGCTTCTTACACCTTGAAAGACTGCCAGAATTAGCATTAGAATTTAATTCTCCCAAAAAGCTTTATATGAAGATTGGCACATTTTGTCAAGAAAACAAGAGGAAAACTAGAAGCAGGAGAATATTATTCATTGCATAAATGCACGTCAACTGAGCAGAACAAAGGTCTGCTCCAAAGGTCAGAGTCAGACCAGGTTGTGCTGCTCATCTCTCCTTCAAAACTGCAACTCATTCCAGTTCGCTCGGCCTGTGCTCAGCTGTAAAGTCTTGTCTGGTTGCTGTACTATTAATTCAAATGTCTGTCTTTTCACAGTAGAATTTAGGTTTTTCGTAGGGTTGTCACAATACCATTCAACTAACCCATACAAGTAAATGTATTTTCATTTATTGCACTTAGTGCCAGTACCAATATTTCGTATCTCTTAAGTCAGATCCCAATAAATGTGCAATGAACTGGAACGCAGTGTTAAACTCTATAGGTGGCACAGCTGTGTGTGACACAGTGAGGACATCACATCGAGGGATACGCTTACACCTGGTTTTTACTGGCAGGGTAGATAGATGGGTGATATGCACCAATTTCACGAGTTGATGCCTGCTCTGTTCTACTTCAAATAATAGACAAAAGTCATGCTCAAATCATATGGATATTTTTCCTTAATTGCCAATCAAGATTTATGTCCATAATCAGCAACAAACTGTAAATGTGTCGTAGACCTTTGGTTTTGGTTTTTGGTTTTGTCCAGGAACCTGACATTCAGTTACCTTCCATAGAAGAGAAACCAAACAGAGACAAATATTAGAAGTCCAACCAATAAAAAATAATTCAATTATGTTATTTTAGTAGACGACAATGATTAGTAAACTTGCTCTCAATAAACGTAGCCTCTTGAGTGACTGATTCAATAAAGCTACAAAATCTAGAAAATAATTTATTTTTCACCCCCAGCGGGGGTACAGAAGTTCAGCATCTGATCTCCTGCTTGTTTTTACACCAAGCAATCTGACTTTTCTGCTGACGTGTAACTTTTTAACTATTGATCCAAAACATTACACAAGAATGATTAATTAAAAAATAGAAGATGAAGCTGATTAATGAATACGCCACTAACACTACTACTACTACTGCCAAAGCAATAAAAAAAAAAATTAAAAAATTGTAATTTTGTTTGTTTCATCCTGAAATGAGTATAATCAGCTACAGGTTTGGAGCTGTGCCAGGCATCACACACTGTGTTAATAAAGTTTAATGTCAACTTTATTTCTAACACTTCATTTCTTAATCATCTGATTTATATGCACCAATTTCACGAGTTGATGCCAAAGTAATTCATGGCACCAACGTCTGGAAAAGACTCAACCCAAGAAGAACATCTAATGTTAGTAAATTACAATTCATGTTGACACATTCATGTTGTGTGTCATCTTTGAGGGTCGCTGCTAGGTCTGCCAACCTAATTTGTTTGAAGTTTTATCTTATCATGTTGTATTGTACAGTCAAATAGATATAGTATTGTATTTTACTATATCATATTATATATCCTGTTGTATCCCATCCATTTGAAAACAAAAAACTAGCATTCCACACTACAGATTATTCAGTTAAATATTGACCAACGTTGAGAGAGAAGACTGACTGTTGAGAAAGAATGAATAAGCCACATCCTTGGGTGCAGGCCAGTTGTTCAAATTGTTACTTGGTTGATCACACCTACACAGTAACACTGACGAGGGGGAGAACAATTCTATTATGTTTTGCAACTTCAGTTTGAGTGAATCAGCCAGTGACGAAGCTGGACTCTTGAATCACCTAACTAATGAAGCCAAGAAAGTGTAGAGCAGCCGCAAGTGCTCAGTACAAGAAAAATGTACAAAAAAAAAAAAAACAACCCACAAGGAATGAATGCTAAAAGCAGAGAAATAGAGTCTACATGGGTAGTTCACCTCTTGGTCATCAGATACAATAAGAACCAAAAAAGCTTTTATTTTCTTTCATTTTCAACATCAGTTTGAATAAAAGTAAGAAAATAGCTATTTGTCAGGATTCGTTTAATTCAAAGAATATGACTAGTCTCCTTGATAAAACCGAGACTAAGACATGCTTTGATTTTCTTTACTTCACTTCAAACTGATCCAGACATGGAGTGTTTTTTCTTAGTTAATGTCCGTCTGTCATTAATGCTCATAGGAGATAATATAGCTTGCCCTATCCTGTCCTGGATGAGATCATTCATCTCTCTGGTTGCATCCCAGTCGGCCAACACTCAAGTCCCCTGTCATCTGTTCAAATTGTGTCATTGTGGCCTTCGGTGGCCTTCTTGCTTGGCAGGGATGAGTATTCTCATGCTGCGATATGTGCTCCACTTTCAATCCCTGTGGCCACCATGAGCTCTCAGCTGGGGTTTCCATTTGGAGCTGCTCCATTTAAGATGGTAGAGAAATATACCGAACCCAACAAAGCATTGCTTCAGAGCCTGGCATCAGATACTTGTGTCCTGCGGAGATGAACCCGCCTCACTCTAACTCCCCTGGTGAGAATCTGGCCTTCTATCAATCTTTGCTTAACATTAACACATTCTCCAGCACGCTGTGACTGATGGAGATGAGGGCAGAGATAATACTACGTTCTCCCAGAATAAAAAAAGAAACTGCAAAAATTAAAACATAACCTCTTAATAATTAATTTGTGAAATGAATCAGATTAAATCTATCTATCAGATTATCGTTGATCTAATACACAGACATGCAATATGGACAAAGTGTTTATTTCACCATAGCATTTCAAGCTTGAAATACCAAATACCACCACACACTGACTGACAATGAGATTGTGAGAGACTAAACCCAAAATAATGTAATAATAATGAGGACAACGGCCTCCCCAAGTTTTAGAAGTAACTCTAGACACTTTCTACAACTTTCATGATGTACAGAAATGGAGAAAAAAAATAAAATCCAGCTCTATTAAGGAACATTTTGAATAGTTTTGCATATTTTTCTTAACATTTTTCCCGTCATAATTTTTGTCATTTGGATTAAAAACTGATTTTTGTAAATAAAAAACATAAATAAATACGACAAGAAAACAGGATGAACTTAACAGTAGGAAAGACAAAAACAACAACAAGCCAAAAATGAAATCACTTGGGAGAAAAGCAAGCTGTGCTTAGAGAAAACAACACATGCTGGTATCTTGGGAGAATCTCGTGTTTCCCTAATGTAAACACATCTGCAGTGTGGGCTGGAGATAGATTAGCTCCAGAAAGAGAGATGACATGTAGTGTAGAGAAAATAGTGTGTGTATTATAAAAACAAACAATACCCATATAAGTACTCAAATATTATTTACTTTTGTTTCACTGACTATCACGGATGTTTTATTAAACCTTGCATTAGGTACATTTTTTAAAATCTATTTGTACTAGAAGATAACATGGTTGATGATTTAACCAGGCCAGTCAACTTAAATGTTAAATATTCTTTAATATAATCAAAATAAAGTTCTTTTTAATTCACAAAGGGAAATATCATCTTTGAGCCAACCGTCATGTTGTCAGTACTTTTAGATTAGATGTAATTAAAAACACATACTTTCTGTTTGGAAAAGGGACTGAAACAAAGGAGGGATATATTAATTTTGTTTTTGATTTGTTTCCAAAGAATGAAAACAACAAAGATAAAAATCATACTTTAGAAAATAATAAAAAAAAGATCTGAATTCCAAGACAGTGCTTCCCCTAATTGTTACAGTGGTAAAAGTCACAGACAGCACTGAAACCAATGTTTATCATTAAAATATGAATAATAATGGTTTATATTAATTGCAACAAATGTGTGTTTAGTTGCAGCTCATTGATTGGATGTAATTTATTTAACATTCTTCACAGGAGGGTTGGCACACATCTTACCTAGTTGACTGTTGACTGAATTATTAAAAAGAAAAATGAAAAATCACTCTCTGTCTTGGGAGAAAAATGTAGTTATCATGCACAGAGTGAAACAGAATTAGCACAAAGAAACTCAGTGTGAACAAAGGTAACACAAAGGCGTGTAACGCATTAGACCCAAAGCCTCAATGGCTTCAATAATGAGTGGCCTCCTGTCAAATCGTGCATGTACAATAGCAACACGGCCATTTACATCTTGGTGAAAAGGTAATAAATTGTGCAGATGGATGGCAGTGGAGGCATTCATTGGGAGGTGTAAATTGTTCCGTCTTTATACTGGCTGTCAAAAAATTCCACGGACAAAGGAGGCCATGCTGTTGGTAAAGACAGGGAGTGAAAGGGAATGATGGAGAGAGAGGAGACAAGAGAGGAGTTCTCCCTGTATCCCGTTACTTACCCACAGTTGACCCAGGCGATGGTCCCTTGGCCCTTCACTGTCTGTGCCACATCAGACAGCAGTTTCAGGTGGGAGTCCCCTGATGTAGCTGCAGAAGAAAGAAGAAACTATGATCAGTCACATTACAGGGGCCATTCAAAGGCTCCGAGCAGCTCGGAGCCCGGAGACACAGAGGACACTGTCATGTCAAACACAGGGAAGTGGATTTAAATTTCACCGTAGCACTGTGTCTCAGCAGAGTAAAGAGTGATGGGAGAGAGGGGGAGGGAGGGGAGAGGGAGAGAGAGAGAAAGAGAGAGAGAAAGAGAGAGAGAGAGAGAGAGAGAGAAAGAGAGAGAGAAAGAGAGAGAGAGAGAAAGAGAGAGAGAAAGAGAGAGAGAAAGAGAGAGAGAGAGAGAGATCACAGAATGTGGGTTAGGAGGTTGATGGAAGACTGTTTCCCAATGCCTTTTCCTGGACGGATGCAGGGAGGGGGGCTAAAGTTACATCAGCTTTCAACATCTTACAATAGTGTGAGTGAGGAGCAGACTGGAGGATTATATTCTCGTTGACTACAGAACCGAAGCACGCCCACTTTAACAGCCGAAGGAGGCGAAAAGTAAGTGAAGGTAAACTTTGGTGAACTTCAGCTGGAGTGTACTCTACTGTACACTGCTTATTACTGTGAACCATGAAGAACATCCAGCTCACTCACGGACGACACAGAGTTCATGGCCACAAGGGTATTCCAGACTATATCCTGCCAGACTGAGAACTGCTGAGATAATCTTTTTGTGTTTGGACACGATAAATTTGGAAGAGGGAATAAAGGTGTACAACAGAGCGTGTGTCTCTGACCCTCCAACTGATTCGATTTGGCTCTCAGCATAATATCAAGTTGTTGCAAAACCAGCTCCGGTGCTTGTCCAGGTAACAGCACTGTCTGAGGTTGAATAGTGAATTATTGCAAAGAGAAAACAGCTCTGTAGCCAGCATAATCAATGGTTCTAAATTTAAATTTTATTGCTGGATTTTTCTTTTGCTGTATTTTGCTGTTTCTAACTTAATCAAAGGAAGATATTTAACTGTGCAATCAATTCATAGATCGGGGATAAAAACAGTGTTTATAAAGGGGGGGTCCTGCTTGTAAACAGTATAAATAAATCTCTTTAAAAAATGACAAAAAAGTCTGTAGGCAGTCTATGTTTAGGCATTGATGTTAGGTTTTACTTTTTTATCTGGTTATATCCTGCCACCTCTTTCCAATTAACCTGAGTCTAAGACCTCGGAAGTTCAGTCAGTGAACATCACTTCACTAATTGTGAATTACAACAACAGATTCTTAAAACCCCTAAAACCTAAGCTTTTTAATAAATGCATGAAGAGAGCAACGTCCCTCACCCCCCAGGCTGTGGATATATTTAGAATTAAGGGAACTGTCATACTTCCCTAAGGTCTTGCCTGAAACAGGCCAGTCGACGAAACACCTAGCAAGCATTAACCATTTAATTATTACTATGTATGGGGCAGGATGTAAATGATCCCACACTAGGAGGTGACATACCTGAAAAGCTCATGGAGTCAAATTAAGGCTGTGAGTAACAACAGAGTCAGAGAACAGCAGTAGAGGAAAAATACTGTCTCTAATCCAGACGGGAAAGAAAGGGATGTGGCTGAAAGCTGTCAGATATTCAGTGGGTGACAAGGACACTGAATCAGCATGGCAAAAGTCCGGCATGTAAAGTAGAACCTTTAATGTATTTATAAGGGACGTTGGCTACAGACAGTGATCAGTCAGAGTTACTGCCCAGTGTGTGGGAATCCTTGTCTAATGCCCTAAGGTGGATTGATGTAAAACAGAAATTATGAAGCAGATAAATGTGTGGCATGTGGTCTGCTGCACGTTTAAAGTAAGAGAAACCCTTAAAAAGGAAATGGTGTAATATGAGAAGAGTCCTTCATCAAGCATACTAAGTAATTTTTGCGCTTTCCTAGAAATATGCAAATGAAAATTGATTTAAACTTCCCTGGGAGGCATGAGAATATCTCTAATGGTTGGGGAAAACATAATTTTTACAGCTCCGAGGGTCTTCATTTTTATTTTAATGCTTTAATCACTAATTCTACATGATAAGTGTTTCCAAGTTCATTAAAGAGAAATACTACTGTGATCATCACTTTAAACAGGCTCTTTAAACAGGCTAAAGAGACACAAAATATAATTGCAGAATTTATTTTTAACATACTGAGGCTATGTGATTTCTAATTAATTCAATTTGAATCTACTATTATTACCAAATGATCAAATTAATTTGAATTAATTAAGTGTTTCAAGTCGTCCCCACTGACTGAGAAGCCCATTTAAATGGCATTTAAATAATCAAGAGCTTCAGTTCCTCAATATTCTATGTTATAATATATGATGCAGGAAGAGACACTTGCTTCAAGTCACAATGCATGAGTCACTTTGGAAATCTCTCACATTTTCTAATTAAATCTGTACAAGTACATAATGACAAGAGCTCTGAAGGATATCTTTTACATTGAGATATAAAGGCACAGCTAGACTACACAGTCACACTGAAAAACTGAATGTGTACGAAACACTAGAAGTTCTGTCTTTCCAAAAACTCTTGAACTCTGAGTCTAGTCCCCTTTTAAGTTTTAATTTATCTGATTTAAAAAAACTCACTCCCTACCTGTTTTTGTATAGAGCACTAAAACATTGGTTCTTGTCCTGAGAAGCTTCTTGAAGTCTTTGTGGTCAGTAACCTTCTCGATGAGAGGAGACACCTTCACTGCATCCAACAATGGTAGCAGCCACACCTGGAGAAACACAAGTAGGCATATATAGTTTGCAATTTCATTTATTTGACACTCAACTCTGTGGAAACCACTTACAGTACAGTACAGTACAGTATACCACTGAATATCTCAGGTCCACGTTTGATCACTAACAGTGCTCTAGATTCAAATAAACAATGAAAAACTTTGAAGAGCCAAACTTGACTCTGGAAATGTGTGACAAATACAGTCTGGTGCGTACATAAGAATTGAATTGAATCTTCTACTAGACCCAACAGCAGCTACTAATAAACTGATGGCCGTCTGTTCAAGACAGTACAGACATTGAATATAATTTAACTTGACAACATAACAGCAATGTATTGAAGCCGTTTTTAATTGCCATAAACATAGTTGACAGATTGAGCTTGACATTTCCATCGATGTGGAAAGCCAGTAGATATTTCCTTCCCATAATTACAGAATTCTTTCCACCTACTGTGGCACAAACAAGATAGGATGTAATATCTAATATCGACCTCTACTTAAGGTCCCCTCAAAGACAGCATCAGGTTGGCACATCAGTACCATTAGTCTGAATGGACTTTCCTTTGACTTTCCAAACACCAGTTGGGCTAATGGTGTGAACACACCTTTAATAAGAAAGAACTGAGCGGCCTTCACTTTAATCAAGAGAGACTAAGAAAGGGGAAGAAACAAGGCTTATTACCCTCAGCTGGAGCTTCACAAAGCTAATGCATTCCATCCTATTCCTTGCATTTTAATAGTCTCTGTGCCATCACAATTCATTAAAAAAGTCCTTCCTTTTTGCCTGCAGAGAACTAGATTAGACTTTTAACACTGTCTGCTCACTCAGTGAATCCGTCTTGATGAGTGATATCACATGGAGTTAAAACACCTGTCAGGCTGCTTGTCTGATCTTTATTTCCAAGATGAGGTGGTTTGAGGCCAGCGTGATAAAGTAAGGGAAGGAGAATTATGTACAATATGTATTTAAGCTGTATAATAAACTACTCTCACGTGCAGCCTTTTGGTATTTACTGCATTTACTGTCATAAATTCAGTCTAGGATTTACATATATACATAAATGGTGAGGTGTAAAGTTCGTTAATTTATCAATGGTATCTGTTATCGGACAAAGCCAAATATACATCATTTTGTTTCAGACAATATGCAAAGCCAAATATACATCATTTTGTTTCAGTGAATGGTGATTGCTCCACCACATTAATAAATACTACGCATTTCCTTTGAGGAACTTGAGCTACTATGAGCTTGACTAAGAGTGATAATTCCCACTAACACGGAAAACAGCAGTAGAAGTGAAACATGTAGTGAAAGAAGTATTAAGTGCACTTGCATGAGCGTAACATCACCTGTTTTCTGGTTCAATTCCCTATCTTAAGCGTGGAGTTAGCAGTTTCTCAATCAAAGAAATAGTGTTTTTTCTTGGTACATAAGCATGTGTCAACCTTTTCTGGAAATGCAGTTTATATGAGTATTCATCACCTGGGTGCATATAATAGCGATCTAAAAATAACTACATATAATTAGCCACACAAATATGTTTCCAGGACCTGTCAGACAACTGAAAATAATGGCTGATGTCGACAGTTAAGGCAGCGGAGGGTGACAACAATGATGTTGTTAAATTGCTTCTTTTTTTTTTTTTTGTGACAACTGTATAGTAATAAGTATAACTACAGGTACTGACAGTTTCACCACAGTAGGACAGGTAGGTACAGAAGGAGCATTACTGTACTGCTGACACTTTACTATTACTTATAATGATGGGCAGCTAAAATAGAAGCAAGAACGCAGAAGTGCCGTTTAATAAATTCACAGAGAAATTTAGAGTAAGAAAGTAAAGAAAAACCTGCAAAGAAGAGAGTTGTGAAGCAAATTTGATGTATTTTTAAAGGCCTGTGAATTATCTCTTAAGTGCTACCTCCATTCCATAGACTCTGTACTACAGTGTCTGTTCAAATAAACCATGATGAAACTATAGACAAATCAAGGTTGAAAAGTTCTGTTAGGCAACCGGACATGAATTTTCTAAAAGAAGATGTTTCACCTCTCATCCAAGAGGCTTCTTCAGTTCTGAACTGAACAGTCATCCAGGACATCCTTGACCTGGATGACTGAGAATCTTCATAGACATACAGACAGATCACAACTGTCTTAGAATATTCATTACTTTATCCTAAGATAGATCCATTAGATTTTTTTTTAGGGGCCAACTGTCAATGATGGTTAGATAGTAGTTTTGATGTGCAGAAATAATAAATATCAAATAAATACACAAAATTAAAAACTTTTAAAGACAGCACATACAGTAAGATGGAAATGGTACCAATGTCGCATGATTGTGTGAAATTATATATTTTTTAAATATTTGCCTTATTTGTGCAGCAGTGGGAGAACTCAATGAATTTCTAATATTGTTTCGACAATATTTGTTTTGACGATATTGTTTGACAAAAATATTGCTTTTATTAGAATTGCAGTATCTAAATATAACTATAATTCCCAATTGAAGAGTGCTTGGCAATAGTCATATCTACAGCAGAAAATGTTAATAAATATGGAATAAGAAAATGGAGTAAATATAAATAATACTAAAACCAAAACTGTAAAGTGCCAGTATCTAAACAGTCTCTCTCTCTCTCTCGTGGATCAATAGGAGATGAGGCCATTCGCAAAGCAAATACAATAACACAGCTGCATGGGTCAATTGAGTGTTCACCAATTTCATTTTTCTCCCTTTTTTTGTTGTTCACTCCAGGACAACAGGTCCCAGTAATTCACAGCTGGTATCCATCACAGGCGGCTGATGAACAGAGCAGCGCTAAAAGCTTTTTTTCATCCGACATCACTGTATGAGTCATTAACCATCTCTGCACATATACCTTCCTAACATCACCCTATATTTTGAAAAACCCATTGAATTGAATGCAGAACTCTTGATATGTAGTGTTATTTATTTGCTGATGTTTTCAGGTGAGTTGTGTTGTTTAAAATTGCTATTTTAATTGGAAAACAATGAAATATTCGTCCCTAATTAACACTGCCTACACAACACACTGCATCAAGATAGGCCCAGCCGTACACATAAGTGGAACCTAATAGTTTAGTTGAACAGAGAAACAGATTTTTAAGTAAAAATGTACTAAATGGTAAACCCTAATTTAAAAAAAAAAACCTACATTTTTTAGCTAATTTTTAGTTTTGGAAAGGATGTTTTCGCTTAATTATAACTGTTTGGCTAACTTCATGTTAACCTTACGCCATTTTGATAACACTAGGGATGGCTCGATCTGAAACTGAGGACTGATCTGATATTGGTCAAAATTTCAGAATCAAACCCGGAAAAAAAACAACTTCAGCGTCAGCTTCACTTTGCGTGAGATGCAGTAAACAGGAACACCAGGGTTTAAGTTGTGTCCATCAAGTGTTTTCCAGTCGAAGCACAGCTTAATCTCAGATCACAGAAAAATATAATGAGTTCCATTGAGTATGAGTTAGTCAAAAAAACTGTTTCATCTTTCAACTATAGCATTAGTTTCATAAGTCAAGAAATAAATAAAAATGTCTTGACAAAGAAATTAAACAAACAATGTGTCAACGTTGGTTTTGCAAGCAATAAATATAAATATTAAACTGAGGTATGGGGGAACATAACTTTGACATTTTTGACATTTTATCAAACCATGGAGAACAGAGCAGAGGGTTTATGATTGTAACTGATTGGAATGATCAGTTTAATGATTTCAATAAACAGTAAACATGAAGATTTATCATGATCTCATTCACTACAGTAGACTACAGTTGTGTTACTGTGGTATGTTGGTGCTTAGCCAAAAAAGTGACAGACCAAAAATAACCAATCTCTGCCTGCCTGCCAATACACTGGTCATGGTCACTAGATTAAAGGCAATGTTCAAGTAAAAGCCACAAATCCTGAATGTCACTGCAGTCCACAATGCCTGGCCTCTGTTCAAATGTTGTAAAAGCTGCTGGCTCTTTGTGTTGGCAGCCACACGAAGAACAGCAATAAACTAAGTCAACAGAATGTCAACAAAAATCCATTCTAATAATACTTACCTTTCTGAAACCATTTCATTATGTTTGCTGTCATACGATGACTGGGCTTCTATTTAAAACAGGTAAATGGTGATGAACGCAATGCTGTGAGTGCTTTAAACATCAAGGGGACATTTTCTCTTCATGTACCGTAAAACCACATCCTGTCAGACTGCTGTTAAAAATGTACAGCTTACTAAGCAGCAGGTGCCCATCCCCTGCCCGCGAGCCCACACCCTCCATCTGCTGTGACAAATCTGCTTAATAAATGGCATCCAGTTCTGGGGGCAGCACTGAATCAGCACAAATTGCACCAGTGTTTGTCCAGGCACTTGCCTCGACTCTCCTATGACTAATGAGCCAGTCAGTTGTGTGTGGACTGGCGGATTGTAAAGGGAGCTGCGCCGCATCCGATAACACATGCGGGGCACTGATTTAGTGGCTCCTTACCTCTCAAATGAGCAGAGAAGCAATCAATTAGCAGCTTTAGCAACTATCACATTTCGGCAACAAGCCACAAAAGTCAGGGGAACGGCAGTGCACAATATCAAACCATCAGAGTGTTGTTACTGGATAATACTAGATGTTTTGGCACAGAACTCCTGGACATAATCAAATTCTGTTTAAAAATGACCATCTTCTTTAAGATACATTTTTGGCCTGATTAATCAAATGACACAAAATGTATTAATTTAAAAATCACCTCCAAAAATGGTAGCATATTTTAGCTAGTTTGGCAGGTTTTGTAATTTTTTTCCCCCAACAATGTTTTAGTCAATTGTAAGCTTTTCTAGGCTAATTTATTTTTAGCTTCAAGTGTGATAACTTGTTTCCTATTTCTCAGGTAACCTTGGGCAATTTTTGGATAATGTTGCTATTTTTGTCAAACTTCTATTGAAAAAACATAATGTCTAAAACAAACAAAAAAATGCAGAGCTGAAAAAAAATGAGAATGTTATTGCAGTCTGCAGTTTGGGTAGCGAGTTTAGCTCAATATAAATTACTATCTTTCAAAGTAGCAGCTGTCAAGAATTTAAGAAGTAGGCAATACTGGATGTACTGCATGTTTGAGTATAGTTATGTTGGCAAGTACCTGCGTTGGACAAATCAATACCTGCCCTTGGCAGCCCAGGAAATCTGTAAATAAATGTCACTGAAAGCAGGTAAGGTGATGTATTGAACGGCTCCAGAACAAACATAAAAATAATTTTTAAAAAGAGACCAAAAGTATTTATGTATGTTTTTTGGCCCACTGGTCATTCATAAATTTATGATTTTCACTTTCCTCATTAATATGCGTTTGCACTGAATTTTTTTGTTAAATATCAGTCCCAACTGCCATAAAGTAGAGTCACCAAATACCAGAGAAATATGCAATCTTGCAAGTGAAAATTGCATTGGACATAACGCTCACATTAGGAAATCCCAACCTTGTTCTGGTTAGTATTGTGTCTATGCCTGCTTCTAGTAAAATCAAAGCACACAATACAATTCTTATATTTCATCAGTGACTGTATCAGATATTGCCCTTTGCATCCAAAATGATGCAATCATTTTAACATCAAATGTGTTAATGCATTTGTTGACATACTAGTAATGTGACTAAATGAAATGTATACTTTTGTTACAGAGAAATTCCAGACATCTCCAGAGCTGGTATTTTTTGAATCAGTACATTTTGATTTTCAGGCAAGAATGAGTAAACTCTAAGCAATGTCTGATGTACATGCATTGTTGATGACACTGATGTCCACCGTGCTAGCCAGCAGTACTGTACTTTTGCTGTAATTTATTGAATATTTTCCTTTAAATTAGATCAATAATAAAATCGACCACATATTGTATAGATTGCCTTAAACAACAATGGATAAATTATAGAATGTATATAAGCTTGTAGTTCTTGTAACATGTAGCATTCATACCGAGTTCATCATAAAGGACCTTTGGACTCACTTTATCCTATAAGTGGGTTTCCATTTTATATATAAAGTTTATGATGATTTTTGCATAAAAATGTTAAAGGAAGTTGGAAAACTTAATATTTTACAAAACATTAAACTTTAGAGACTCTTTTGCTCTTGCATAACAGAGAAACTGGTCTGTGCACATTGGCCTACATACGGTAATGAGTTTGATTGACAGCTCGCACTTAAGTGCAAGACTTTTTAACTTTCATTTCCTCGTTTAAAGACGAGTAGCTGCACAGAAAACTTTTCCGTAAACGTGTCCTGTTGTTAAAGGAACTACAGCCACAAACGCAAACAGGTGAAGTGTCTCATAAACACATAAACCTAACAATGGCTGGAGAGAAAGGAACACAGTCTGTTTATTCTACTCAGACACTGAGAAGGCAGGCAGTGACTGTTGACCGCAAAAAAGCTAATTTTTACAGCTTACATAAGGAAATCCTGTGATTTACACCAGCGACAGACACACACACACCGCAGTCCAAGCCACATTATCACCAGCTCCGTATAACATGACCGCCAAGTTCAGCCAGGGCTGTCAACTTTACATCCTGCACGGAGAGGAGGCTCCAGGAGGAGGTGGAGGAACCACTGGGGTCCTTCCTCTGCAGACACATACTCTACAACAGCCGCCACAGCCTCGCTGTGCAGTCGCCGGGAATAACAAGCACACGTCCAACCGTACACGACAGGAGGACGAGCTTTATTGGACTTACCAGTAAAAGAAGCGTGAACATTTTCGCCTCTCTCATCTGACTCCCGGAGCGATTCCAAGAGGCCATGATGCCGTTGCCACGTCTGGATACGCAGGCGCAGTGGCCTTTTTCCAGGGATTCGCAGGCAGCGCGCATGGCACCATGGGGAATGTAGTGCACAGCCTTGAACGTCGCCTTCACCTAGTTAAAGGCTTACGTCGCAATTTTATGTAAATATAGTGAGGTCAAATCGTTATATACAGTTCATAGAGTTTTGCCAATTCCAAAAATTAAAACCGAAAAGGTAGTCGAAGAACGCATTTTGTAAAAATGCATAAAAACATGATAAACAAACACGTTTACTAACAAAATAAGACAGAAACCAAGATTTAAAAGGTTGATATAACAGTTAGTGTTCTTAACGTTTTGGAATCAAAATTCAACTAATGAAAAATATATAAATAAAATAAAACTAAATTTATATATATGTATATATATTAATAATATGTTTTATATGTCATGTATTAATGTTTCTAACCACAAAACATTCAAAATCTGTCTATTTCTAAATGTCATTGAACTCACCTCTTTTGCTCAGTGTTTTTTCTTTATTCAATCTATCTTTAGCAAACCAGAAACCATTAGGTATCATTTGGCCCAACTATGGCAATCACTAAGACAGTATTACTTCACCAATAATAATAATAATAATAATAAACATATCAGTAAGTCTACACTCCTCATGCCTCTATCTGTATAAGCAAACTTGGGGCCTCTATTGCTGAGCCATTATAGGCATAGTTTTAATTATAAGATGGATTAGTTAGATTAGTTAAGTTACTGGGCTCTATTACTTATTCTGTGAAGAAATCCAAAATATGTGGCCCAAGTATAGTTTGTAAGAAATTACCTAACTAATAATTTTATGACAACAGTTTGACTTTATACCAGACTTTTACTTCCTCTCTTGTCTGCTGCAGTTTTCTTTTGTTACTCTTTTTGCTAACGGCAATTTTCAAACCTAGAAAGTGCACATCTTTCTGTTTCGTAGAATTTAGGTAAACAGGGTCTTTTTCTTCTGTTATCTGACTTGAAATTGACTTCATTAAATTAAACACAGGGTGTCTTGCATTTGTTTTCTATCCTTTCAAGAAGGGTAATACATGTGTTAAAATCGAATGCATTATTGAGTAATTTTCCTCCTGGAGTCCAAAAATAAAATCCAGTGAAACATATGATATATATATAATTGTAAGTCTGACGAGTCTCAGTGAAAAATCTGAGCCCACTGAGTTGATCTGGTTAGACACGTCATTTCAATGTTCTTGGACACTTGACTGAAAACACTATGACTATCCTCTTACATTTTATCAGGATGGTGCAGCCATATTGCAAAACAATTAATTTCCCAAGGAGGTAATTAGTAAATTGGAAAGTGATTGAGAGGCTCTTAATTAACTCCACATCATTTGCTTGCATTCCTTCAGAAAAGCCTCTTTGGTTTGATTATAGCAGCAAAATGAGGTTTGCAGTTTCGAAGGCACACAGAGCTTGGCCTTGAGGTCTTTTCCGCTGCAAAAGTTCAGAATACAGTATTCTAATACAGTAACTACATCTATTATTCCTACTACTATTACCATGATAGGTATTACACCTATAAAATCTGTCCAGTATGTACAATAGCTAGGTTTTTAGTCCTGAATAAAAATGTGTCATCATTAACCAACCTTGTTATATTTGTGAAAGATTTAATAAATGTTTATCTGCACACACTCCCGTATGTTGGAACAGATGCAGAGTTTCGCTAAGTCACATAAGAACAAAACAGAGGATATGATACGGTTTTGCGAGTGAAATTTTGCTTGTTGTTGCTTTATAAATGACAAGATTTGGCCAACACTCCATGGTCAAAGTTCTGATTCTCATCCTTATAGACATATGAGTAGAAGATACATTTGGACTGCAGGCAAGACAGTTAGGCTCAGGCAGCTTTAGATACATAGACTAACTTTGTTTTGTTTTTTTGGGGGGTGGGGGGATTTAGTTCTGCAGCTGGAAGTTTAAGACAACGTAAATTCTAAAAATATAAATATAAAGTAGTTAGTAATTATTTTTTTAAACTTCTCTACACCATCGCAAGCTCTGACTTTGGCTTTTTCAATTTTTAATTATCTAAAATCTAACATTGGTGTGAATCTTTATTATTGATATATTACTTAAGGCAGCATTTCTGAACATAATTAATTAAAAATCAAGTTATTTACCTACATTTTGAATAGAGTATAATAGAATAGACTGTTTATTTTAAATTAGAATAATCTTTTTCATAGTCACAGTTTTTTTTTTTCTTTTGGCCGGAGCAGTCAAACACATCAAAACACTGTTATGCCCATTGGAGTCTTATTGCCAGGTTACTCGCGCACAGGAGCCCACAGCAGGTGCTGCCGAGTCCCACACTCAGCAGCAACTCTTCCCCAGAAGCCCCGCATCACCTCCTCCTCCTCCTCCTTGTCTTCCTCTTTCTCCTGCTTCTCTCTCTCTCTTCCTCTCTCTCCCTCAAGAGAGAGAGAGACTTTTGATTCAGCTGTGGACGGCTGCGCTGTTGCGACACTTTCCGTGGGTGTCCATGCGTAATTCCTGCCCAAATCGATCCCATTGCTGTTTCCTCTCCAACCAGCCGTCCCCTCTGAATGTGGTGGTATAGTCCGAAAGAGAGAGAGAGAGAGAGAGAGAGAGAGAGACTGAGAGAGAGAGAGAGCGCAGTTGACGGCTGCAGGTCCTTCAGTGAGGGACGCACACAGCGGGTGAGGACTCACCGTCACAGACCCTGGTGTCTATTTTGTCTCCTGTGTTCAGAGTGAGAGTCTGATTCCCCTAATCGTCTCTACACGGCGTTGGATTCAACTTGAGGAATACAAACATCTTCGAAGGTAAAGGGAGAATGACTTTTCCTTCTCTTTGCTTTCTTTTGTTTGGCAAAAATGTGTGAAAATGCCCGGAACAAAGCACTTTTAGGTGTGTTGCGCACCGGGTTCCAGGTTCCAGATTTGCGTTTAGAGGGAATCAGTGTTTGGATTTTGTTTGAGCTCCTGGATTTTTTTTTAAGATAGAGACAAAATGAAAACAATGCCTCGGCTTAGTCTGGAGTGAGATGCTTAGGTCTGAAACTACCCTCCATCACTAATGGATACTCAGACGCTCTATTCAGCCATGCTGGGAGTGTGAGCTCCGTTTTCTCTGGACTTGTTTTACATCAGAGCAGTGTTTCACTTACATCTACACTCTTTATTGCTATTTTCCAACACTTGCTGTTTCCTTTTGCTCACTTTGGCCGTGTGTAGAGAGGTGTCGTGGCCGCTGATGTGGCGCAATTTGTGCAGAGAGGACTTGGTTCTTTATGTCTCTCCAGTTTACTTTCCACTCACGTTTCTGCCCAGGATCAGAGGAGCGTTTGTTGGGCTGCAGGAGCTGCTGTGCCTGCCCACATCAGCACCGACACAAACTTAACTTTCTGATGCACACACGCACGCACAACCGCGCGCGCACACACACGCCGTTTGGTTATTTACGAGATGTTGAACTTTAAAGATCTATGGAGAAAACTTAATTGATGTAACCTTTTGGAAAACGAGGCTCACATTATTTTGATTTGGTCACACTTCTGTTATATGACTGACCCAGAGATATTTTTTTAATATTTACACAAGTGTTTTTTTTTTCTTTTAAATCTGTATTTATAGTTTTGTTGTGTCAAATTGACAGTTAAATGTTGTAATTACTATTGTTTTTTACGCACAGAATCCCGAGTTTTTATAATTTTCTAAAAAAAAAGCCAATTACTAATAAATCACTGCGTATATACTTATAAATAACAAGACATTAATAACACGGTATACTTGCGGCACATAAACGGCATTTACATGTATCTTTGGTGTTTTGATGTAAAGTACATGGTAGGAGCAGGGGGTGCATGCATCCTGTGTTGGAAGATCAATAGAGGGCACTGTTGAGCAGCGCTTTATAGCCGTGTGTTAATAACACCTTGCCAGGTAAAGCTTGCTGCGTCTGTTCTCCACACTTGACCGGGATTAGAACTGCAGACAAGAATGTTTTTTTGAACTAGACAAAAGTGCACACGGAGCAGTCCTCCTGGATGTGGCAGTGTCTTGGACAGGGACACTGCTGAAATGAAACAACTGCATGTCAAACATTTGTTAAACATGGTTTCAGGAGCGGCCAATGAAAATGTCTCTGAGATATTGTACATAGTTGCACTTTTCAATATCAAATAAATGTATGGTCATATCATGTTCAACTGTAAAAAAGTGAAACAGTTTAATCTTCAGTAAATATTATGTAAATAAAAAATAATCATTAGAATCAAACTGTGGCAATGGGTTACGTTAAGGAATATAAAGAATGTCAAATAATTTAGGTGGCAAATTAAACATTCATGTAATACTGGGTGAGGAAAAGCAGAGTGAAGAGAAAACAGTTGTCGTAAAATTAAATAAAATTGTAATTGTAATTGTTGTTGTCTCTCTTGAACATCATCCAGAAAATCCAGGAAAATCGTAAATTCTCTTTAACTTGACAACAACGGGGTATTAGACGATTAGATTCTGTAGAGATCACCTCTGAGTCTGAGCTGTACTTCAGTGGGTAACGTGAAGGACTGAAGAGATAGAGATTTGAGAACCAGCTGCAGATGTCACTTGTAATGGACAATATTTTTTTGTAAATAGACCAAGTACAGAATGGGATTTCTCCATAGAAATCAGAGTTAAGCACAAGACTGTGTATAAAAAATGAAAAAGACTAACCCTAACACAAATAATAAAACCTTTAAAGTCAAAGTCATAGTATATCATAGTTATCTTCAGTTATACCATACATTCAGAGCATACAGTTGGACTGAAATTATTTCTGCAATACTCTGCAATAGTAAAACAAAAAATAGATATAAAAGTATAAAATGTACACATCTCGTGTATCATTGAGATGATGACAACAATAGGGTGTATACTAGTTTGAAATGAGGGTATCTGGAGTGTCTTGGTTACTATGACCTGGATGACTGAGAACCTCCGTAGACTTGGTCAGACCTCCACTTGTTTCTTCTTCTTTTTCTGAAGATTGAATGGTTTAATAACGTCAGCTTCACGTCTTTCACGATATACAATTTCAGGAATTTGCTAATTGATGTCTCTCTTGAGAGAAAGCTACGTTTGTTTACCAGTGTGATGTCATCGTATAACAGAGTCCTGTAGCTTATCAACATCATCAATTATTTCCATTAAAAACCTTTTGTATATGATCTGATACATGTATTCTGCCCCCTAGAGGATTAGGGTTTACAAATTATAATAAATGCAGTGTACGACACATACAAAAATACCTCAGAAACAAAACTACGTGGCAACATTTTTTGGATTTTTTTACTATATTTAACAAACATCTCATTTTTTGTTCGAAGCTTTACAGGATTAATTATTACTGCAAATCCAACAACTTGTGTGCAGTATTGATTCAGCACTAACCACCACTGCTGGAGCTTGTACTTCTGTTTCCAGCACTGTGATGTTCATTTCAGATGTTTTATTTAGATAGAACAGTTTTTTTATCTTCAGCCAAATGATATTGTACAGGATGCTGTACGAACGCCTTTCATTTCAGCTCACTGTCAGAAGCGGGAGCAGAACTCCTGCACTTTGGTCTACCTAAACTGTTATAACCCTTCTCGCTGTCAAAAACTGATCCATATTTGCCGCTGAAGGTACCTCATTAGGCCCTGAAAGTGAAGAGTGAAATTACTTCCAATTTCATTGTAATACAAAACGCATCATCCTGCCTCCAGCCCTGTGAGAAACCTCTTTGGCTTAAATTAAAAGTCCATACCGTTCCATTCAAAGAGTGTGAATGGCTGGCTGGGATTCTGAAAAACCTGTCAGATAAAATAACAATTATGTATTTCACTTTAGCCCTCCTTTTAAAATCCCTCCTGCTGCTCTTTAGAACATGACAGACAGCAGAATACGGCGGCCCTACATCTGAGACCTGTAATTAGCCCCGGAAATACACAAATATTCATATTATTATGAAAAAATATTAGACTGCTTTTACCATTCACCCTCAAATTTGTCTCCTACTCGACAACCACGGAATCCAGAATCCAGGTCCTGATCTCAGCAGCGTAAATCTTCCCATCAGATATTCAACATACAGAGCAGGCAGACAGAAATGTCTTGCTTCATTAATCAACACACGTGAATGTTTTCCGACCCCCCGTCCTCCCACCCTGAACCACGTTTTGATTGATATTCATATATTCGTACAGGTTTTATCGGCCCCACATGCTTGTCTTATGGATGATTAAGGCTTTTGTTATTTAAAGGGCTGTTTTTAGTGTCCTGGGTCAGGCCTTTCAAATGGAAAACAGAGTTCCATCTTTGATGAAGTTATGAGGGCTCTTGACAAGTCCTGGTGGGGCGGAGGGGACCAGTCTTGTCCAGCTAATGCGAGAGCTACACACACACGCATAATTGTTCTCGTAGACTTCTTCTGTGTTCACTTCCATTTTACTTCCTCCGCGTGACGTCTTTGTGGTACAGTGTGTGAAAGTGTTTTGTTTTTGATTACGCTCCGCGGGTCCGTGTCGTCATGGCATCTGATGTGAACATGAATAATTCATAATTAGTGAGGAATATAATAGGTGTAGAGTGGATGAGCCGACAGACTCTCCATCAAAGTTTTAGTGATGAATGTCTAAACTGTGGCATAACTTGTGGGGAAGCACCGGACAGATGTAAAAGTTTAAAACGTGAATAACTTGTGGGGGAGCACCGGACAGATGTAAAAGTTTAAAAGCGTGGACAACTTGATCGGTCCTCCTCTCCTCTCTGTTATAATCTTTCCAAGAAACACAGGAGGATTGACTGACCACGAAGGTGTGTGTCTGTCTTAGGCGATAACAGAGGGATATAGATAACACTGTTTGGTCTGAGGTCACACTCTTTAAGCCCTCACATATCTCCAGGTCTGGAAATGTGACTTTAAAGAATATACTGTACCTTCTTCTCCCTGCTGTGGAAACACTGTACTGTCATTTCAAGGTTAGACTTTTTCATCCACTGGGACCAAGGAGGACATTTCAAATATACTTAATCATTAGACAGTATACATGAAATTAACAGAGAAAGAGTGGTTGTCAACTGCTGGTTTGGGAAGTAGTGCCATGTAAAAGAAAGTCTAGTTCTCAATTTGGCTTGATGTTATTATGCCACTCACACACCAATGTCACCTGCAACTACTCAAGCTAACAAAAAAAAAAAAAAACCCTAATTCCATTCAACTCCGAAAACCTTTTTTCTTCCGGAATTAGATCTAATGAGGTAAAAGGGAGAACACACATACAGGGAAATGAAACTGATTTTTCCAGGTAAACGCATACAAATCAACAGGATATAAAACAATAGAACTATATTTTCTATAGATATATTGCATTAATACTATAAAGGGTTAACTCCTGTGCTTACTTGTTTTTGGTCTTTTACATACTCATCTAATCTTATTAAACATTTACATCTTGATGAAAACAACAATTTAGACCATAAATGATTCATCAAAGTGTTTATTATTATTTAAGTTTCTTTTAAGTTGACAAACAATGTGTTTTCACTTGGAATTAAAAAGAAAAAGGCATTTTGTTAAAAACCTAAAATGAGCTGATTGAGAATATAAAGCTGTTAGTGGAATAATATATTCTGTTTAAAAATCATTATGATGTAGTGACACTGTCACAGAGACTTGCATTTGTACAGAGATACTTGCAAAACCAACCCAGACAACCGCCGCCGAGCCATGTGAGCCGTATTATTTATCGTCCATTTTCGTCTAAATGGGATCAAACTTAAAAATCAACTAAGAGGAG